GCTTCCAGAATCACAGAAACACACAAACCATGACAGCATGACAAACTGACAGATGAGTGGTGGGTATCTGTATATATCTATCTATCTATATATATGGAGCTCTGATAGCATAGTGGTTATGAATCGGGCTGCTAACCTCAGGGTCAGCAGTTCAAAACTACCAGCTGTTCCGCAGGAGACTGATGAGACTTTCTGCTTCCGTAAAGATTTACAGCATTGGAAACCCTGTACAGGGTCGCTATGAGTCATAACAGACTCCATGGCACATAACAAAAACAAATATATACACATACATATACATACACACACACACACACACACACATATACATATATACAAACACTATATATACACACACACACATATACACACACATATATACACATACATATATGTGATTATATACATATATATCTGACTATATACACATATACCTGACTAGATACACATATATCTGACTATATACACATACATCTGACTATATATGCATATATGACTATATACGCATATACCTGACTATATACGCATATACATGACTAGATATACATATATTTGACTATATACACATACATCTGACTATATACACATATATGACTATGCATATACCTGACTATATACGCATATACATGACTAGATATACATATATCTGACTATATACACATACTTCTGACTATATATAAATATATCTGACTACATACACATATATCTGACTATATACACATACATCTGAATATATATATATATGTGTGTGTGTGTGTGTGTGTGTGTTGATGCGCTGGACTGCAAAGTTGTTTGTTCCACAAGGTTGGCAGTTCAGGCTCATCAGCTGCTCCTCAGAAACCCTATACAGGGTTGCTAAAGTCCATGAGAGCCAAAATATGACCTTGAATATATCCCACCTGAATTTAGAGATCATCTGAAGAACAGATTTGATACATTAAACACTAAAGACTGAAGACCAGAAGAGTTGTGAGATGACATCAAGGTCATACAGGAAGAACGCAAAAAGTCATTAAGAATACACAAAGAAGGAAAAGGTCAAAATGTATATCAGAAGACACACTGTAAATTGCTCTCCAGTGTAGAGATGCTAAAGCAAATGGAAGAAATGAGAAGGTTCAAGAGATGAACAGAAAATTTCAAAGATCAGCTCAAGAAGATAAAGCCATATATTACAACAAAATATGCAAAGATCTGGAACCAGAAAACCAAAAAGAAAGAACACGCTCAACATTTCTCAAGCTGCAGAACTGAAGAAAATATTCAAGCCTTGACTTTCGTTATTGAAAGATCTTCTGGGCAAACTACTGAACGATGCAGAAAGCATCAAGACAAGATGGAAGAAATTCACAGAGTCACTGTACCAAAAGGAAATTGGTTAATGTTCAACTGTTTCAAGAGGTAACACG